AGTGTTCATATGTAAAAGCTTTTATTTTAGGATCAAATGTACTTAGTCTCTTCAGAAAGTTAAACAGTTAGGTCACTTTTTTTGTTCCTGTATTTCTTTTCATTGTTAAAACTTGAATTGATCACTTAAGACCAAAGGTCCTGATATCCGATATTTTAAGTCCTGATATATAAATCACTCTGCCTTTCTTTTCTAATTCTTTCAGACAAATTGCTTTTGACAATAACAGCTACCATTTATTGAGCACTTATATATCAGATTTAAGTGAAGCACTTTATATAAACACATTCTTCATCATTAAAACTATCCTGAAAAGTATAGTTTTCATATAAAATATAAAGAAACTGAGACTTAGAAAGGGTAAGTAGCTTGCTCAAAGCAGCAATGCTATTAAATGCTAGAGCCTGAATTCCAACCTGGGGTTGCCCAAGTCCTGCACCGGTGCTGTTTCACCAAACTTCACTGACTACTCATAAGAGGTGTTCATTTGGATTAGACATCACACTGGCAGGTCTATTACGGTACATGTTGGTCATGGTTGATTTGGAATTCATTTTGCTAGATATTCCATTGTTGTATTCATAGATACTCTTGAATCACACTTTTTGCTTTCTTTAAAAGTAAGTCATCAAACTAATAGGAGTTGTCTGAAGAGTTGTGATTATGGATAGAAGGCCTTGACAAAATATGGTTTAAGTTTGAACTGTTCTTCAGTATTTATGTTGGTATTAACAAACTTTGAAATAGTAAATATGTTAAGAGTCTTCGTCTCGGCACAATTCTTGGAATCCTTTGTATGAAAAAATTTCCTAGGTGGAAGTGCTGTGAAAGTAAATCCTTTAGTTATTTTACTTGTGTTACAAGTGGTTATGAGCCCTTACTCTTTGCCAAACGTTATGCTGTATAACTAGGGATGTAATGGTAAGTAAAATAGAAACAATCTGAAATGTCTCAATAGCCTGGAATGGAGAGACAGCAGTAAAAAATAATCATAATTAAATTGATAAGTGCTATAATAGAGGAAGTAAAAGATAATTAAGAAAGAAGAGCTGAAACTGGTTTAGTTCAGTGGATAGAGGGTCGGCCTGTGGACTGAAAGGTCCCAGGGTTTATTCCGATCAAGGGCATGTATCTTGGTTGCAGGCACATTCCCAGTAGTGGGTGTGCAGAAGGCAGCTGATCAATGTTTCTCTCTCATTTATGTTTCTAACTCTCTATTCCTCTCTCTTCCTCTCTGTAAAAACTCAATATATTTTTTTAAAAAGAAGAAGAAAAAAAAGGGACATCTATTCCAGATCTAGATTAGAAGGGCTTCCTGGAAGATGTGATGTTTAGGATACGTTAAGGAGTATAAGTGAGAATTAGTCAAGTAACAGTGTCACGGGCAGAGTATTCCAGAATTAAATAATAATGAGTGAAGGAATGTTTTATTTTACTTTTATAACATTTTTATTGAGATAATTTACATACTATAAAATTTCACTCTTTTTAAATATACATTCAGTTGTTTGCATTGTATTCACAGAGTTGTGTAACCATCACCGCTGTCTAATTACAGAACATTCACATTAGCCCCAAAAGAAGCCCCATACCCATTTAGCATACTCCCCTTATTCCCTCTTCTCCCTAACACCTGCAACAATGAATCTACTTTCTATATTTCCTATTCTGAACACTTCATATAAATAGAACCATACACTATGTGGTCTTTTGTGACTGGCTTCTTTCACATAGCGCTGTGGTTGGCAAACTGCAGCTCGCGAACCATATGCGGCTCTTTGGCCTCTTGAGTATGGCTCTTCCGCAAAATACCACGGCCTGGGCGAGTCTATTTGGAAGAAGTGTTGTTAGAAGTTTAAGTTTAAAAAAATGTGGCTCTCAAAAGAAATTTCAGTTGTACTGTTAATATTTGACTGTTGACTAATGAGTTTGCCGACCACTGACTTAGCGTAATATTTTCAAAGTTCATTCATATTGTAGCCCATATCAGTATGACAGCCTGTTTTGAGAAATGGGATGAGCAAGATGGAGAATTGAAAGTTCAGTTGATCATGTTTACCATGCATAGAGCAAAAAATTAGAGAATAGAGAGGTATCCTACTAGAGAGGTAAGCAGAAACTATATATAGGTATGGACTTTATTCTAAGGGTAAAAGGATGCTATTGAATGGTGTTAAATACAAAATAAAATAATCAGATTTGTTTTATATTTGTATAGAGACTAGGCTAGATGGCTACAAAATGGATGCGGGACAGGGAGACTAATTAGGATTCTTGCAAAAATTTGGGCAACCGAAAGATGGTGGTGTGGGATATGGCAGTGGGAATGGAGAGAGTGTATGAGTTTGAGAGATTTAAAAGGCAAGATTGACAAGATGTATTATTTGAGTGTAAAAGTGGGGAGAAGTAGAGGTAGTATTTAAAATGGCATTTAAAGTTTTGGGTTGGTGAGTGAGATGGATAATGAGGCATAGACTTATTAAAGATCTGGCTAGCTTAAATGAGTTCCTAGGGTGCCAATCTATAAGGAGTACTAAAATGGTTCTGGAAAGTTAATGTAACGGAGGGAAAAAAGGTAAAGAATTCAGTTATCAGAACTTTTTACTCATTAGTAGAGTACTGTATGTTATTTAGAGGAAAACTGTGATAAACTACTGTACTATAGAAGAAGGTAACACCCCCTCCCTCACCCTAGCTTCTTGCTTAAATAATGAGATGTTTCCTAAACTGTACTCTAGCCCGAGGGCTGTTTTATTGAGCCCACTCAATAGAAGAGAGGTTGTCATCAGTGTCTCTCTTTTTGCCTATCCCTTTTATGGTTCTAATCCTTTTCTTTTTCCTTTTCTCACCCTCCCCTCTCCTCCCCCTCTTCCTCTCCTCTCCCTGTTAATCTTCACTTGAGGATATTTTTCCCATTAATTTTTAGAGAGAATGAAGGGATGGAGGGAGGGAAGGAGAGGGAGAGAGGGAGAGAGAGAGAGAGATGTGAGAGAGGTTGGCAATTGAACCAGGACCCTTTTGTGAGTGGGCTAACACTCCAACCATTGAGCCACACTGGGCAGACCTCTAACCCTTTTCTTTAGAATATTTATCTGTGATTGGGTTGAAGAGTAACAAACCTACTGTTACATATATCTATTGCTATATGATAAACTACACCAAAACATAGTGGCTTCAAACTATTATTATTATATTTTTCCATATATAAGATGCTATTTTTTTATTCTATAATTATTAGACTGAAAATTGAGGGGCGTCTTATATATGGAATTCAGCTGAGGAGGGAGCCTCGAGGATGTGTAGCTGCCCATTCCTTGTCAGACATGTTTCCTCCAATTACGAGCCTTATTGGTACTGACATCAGCTGATGCTGTAATTGGAGGTGGAGAGTGCTGCAGATGCAACAGGGACCAGAGTATTCTGAGCTCATAAAGATGTCAAAAAATAAAAAGATAAATACTGGTAAGCAATTGTTTTACTCTGCAAAATTTAAACTGAATGTAATCACTATGCAAAAGAGCATGGAAATAGAGCTGCAGAGAGATAATTTGGAGTTCTTCCCACTGAGTGTATGATCAGACAGTGGAGAAAATAGGAAGAACAACTGCTTAACATGCCAAAAAAAAAAAAAAAAAAAAGATTTAGAGGAAGACCAGCAAAATGGGCAAACTTGGAGCAGAGGCTTAAGATTTGGATTAAGGAGCAGTGCCAGAGAGGCTTGTGTGTGTCAACCAAGCTTATTCAATGTCAGGCAAGAATGTTTGCAAGAGAAATGAACATTGTTGACTAGAGGCCTGGTGCATGAAATTTGTACTTGGGGGTGAGTATCCCTCAGCCCAGCCTGCACCCTCTCTAATCTGGGACCCCTCGAGGGATGTCTGACTGCCTGTTTAGGCCCAATCCCGGGCAGTTGGACATCTCTCTCACAACCCAGGACTGCTGATTCCCAACTGCTTGCCTGTCTGCCGGCCTGATTGCCCCTAACCACTTTTGTCTGCCAACCTGATCACTCCCCTGCCAGCCTGGTCGCCCCTAACTGCCCTCCCTTACAGGCCTGATTGCCCCCAGTTGTCCTCCCTTGCAGGCCTGGTCCCTCCCAACTGCCCTCCCCTGCAGGCTTGGTCCCCTCTCCCCCAACTACCCTCCCCTGCAGGCCATTTCTTGGTGGCCATCTTGTGTCCACATGGGGGCAGCCATCTTGTATGTTGGAGTGATGGTCAATTTGCATATTATGCTTTTTTAGATAGGATATGATATTCTTAGTTTTATTGTGATTAGTTTCAACTACTAATCTTGTTCAAGGCTAAAATAAGCTCTTAATTGCAAATGATCTCTGAGCAGTTATAGAGGCATTTGTTGGATCTTATTATATATTGAGAAGAAGGAAATAACATCTGAGAAAACTTTGGCTTTTGCATACACCTGATACTATATGTTAAAATTGGGTTAATAGATCCATTGCTACTAGGCAGAAGAGTACTGAGATCATAAGAGACTCCATTGGAGGAAAACAGTTGTTTGGCAATAAAAGTCTTAGCAGGAAGCTTTTGGATCTCATTTTAAGAATTCTGTATAGGTAGGAAAAAATTACACTAACAAGGACTTTCTTATGAAGCAGCAGGTTTGTTAGCTTTGGATTCTTGGGAGCCTATTGTAACATAAATCAGTGGTATTATTATGAATTAACATAATTAAAGGCATTGGATAGAAAGGGGCCTGCCTTGATGTTTCACTCTGTATTATATATTGAAAATTAGAAGTGTGCAAAAAGTCTTAATTGTTCATTGTAACATTTACCTGTTGGCCTTTTTAGACAATAAAATGTGTCTGCTGCTGCATTACATTTCATGCTGGCCAGCCACATCTTTGAATCTGTAGATGTAATTGTAATTTATTGTTTAAGCCCCATAGCTTTTATTTGTCTGGCTATGATAGGTTTATATGAAGAAAATTACAGCTTCTTGCTTTTGCAAATGTAGTGAGCAATGTGTTTTTTCTTTAGGTTCAAACAGAATATACTGAATCAGCAGGACTGGCTGGCAGTGCAGCAAGCATCATGATTAAGCACAGGGAAGTCTGTTTCTTATCTCATGTGTAAGGGGGAAAAGGTAAGAAAACCAATGTTCATATTTCTCTTAGAGCTTGAACTTAAGAAAACAACTAGATCTATAGAAAATAATACTTATGTATATATGCTGCTTGCTTCATTAATAACATTGCCTCTTATTAAATCAGGAGTGGTTTTAAGAAAAATTTGACTTAAATTCAGAACAAAAGGATATTTTTAAATTACTGTTGAATTATGTAAAAAATTCTACGTTCTCTATCAGTGCTTTTAGAGTCAATTTCTACCTTGAGCATACATAGTAATTTCACTATGAAGAAGAACATGGATTTGAGCAATATTGTTAAGAGTAAATAATAGTAATTTACCCAATTAGTGCCATTTATATTTCTTATTCACCATGCAAGAGTTCAACAATTAAAGCTAATTTTGGGGCAGGGAATCAGAAATATAGATTTAATTACATTATTTTACATTTTTAGACTACTTATGAACAGCAATACTTTTTTTTTTTTAAATATATTTTATTGATTGACAGAGAGGAAGGGTTTCTAACTCTCGATAGAGTTAGAAACATCGATGAGAGAGAGTCATCGATCAGCTGCCTCTTGCACACCCCCTACTGGAGATATGCCCGCAACCAAGGTACATGCCCCTGACCGGAATCGAACCTGGGTCCCTTCAGTCCCCAAGCCGACGCTCTATCCATTGAGCCAAACCGGTCCCTGCTGAACAGCAATACTTTTAAGAAAATTGAAAGCAGTGCCCTGGCTGGGTAGCTCAGTTGGTTAGAGCCATCATCCGAGTTTGCCAAGGTTGTGGGTTCGAGCCCCATCAGGGCACATACAAGAATCATCCAATGAATGCATAAATAAAGAGAAACAACATCCCTGACTTATTTTACTCAGTGGTTAGAATGTCAGCCCCATGGCTGAAGTCAAGGGCATGTGCTTTGGACCTGGGAAGGGATGCCAGCGGGAGGTGCCCGATTGATGTGTCTCTCTCACATCGATGTTTCTTTCTCTCTCACACTCCATCCCCTCTTTCCCCCTCCCCTCCCCTCTCACTAAAAAAATCAATGGGAAAAAATATCCTTGGGTGAGGATTAAGAAGGAAAAAAAAGTGGAACAACAAATCACAAATTGATGTTTCTCTCTTATACTCTTTCCTTTCTTTCTCTCTGTAAATCCAATTAATAATAACTAAATACATCTACGCTTATTTGTAAAAGAAAAGAAAATTGGAAATATTTTAGTAGTTCTTTAGAGCAGGAATCATTGGCTTTTCCTGACTAGAAATCATGTTTGATTATTTAAGCCTTAGCAGGGGTCTTCAAACTATGGCCCGCGGGCCACATGCGGCCCGCAGAGGAGTCTGATCCGGCCCGCCAGGTTTTTTGGGCAGTGAGCGCAGCCGAGGTGTTACAGTAGGAATTAGTAGTTCATATAGTCCGGCCCTCCAGCTCTCTGAGGGACTGTGATCTGGCCCCCACTTTAAAAAGTTTGAGGATGCCTGATTTAAGGGGTAAAAAATGGTGGTGGGGTAGAGGGTATATAGATGAGATTGGTTTCCAAAACTGATTTCATCATTCACTAATTAGTAATTTCGTATATTCTGGCTGAGTTTCTGATTTTCCATGTAAGCTTTGAGGATAGCGGCAGGGTCTAACAGGGTGTGACAGGAGACTGAGCTCCTTTTCTATTGAGTTGAGTAGAGCAAATACATTTAGCAGTAGTGCCTTCCTCATCAAAACTTCTGGGCCTACAGTTAGCAAGGTATTTCTTGTCCCCTAGCCTTCTCACATGGGAGTATGAGGGGGGAGTGTCCTTCTCTGCTTTCATGTGGTGAAATTTTATTCTTCAGGTGCCACTTCTTTAGGAAGTCTTCATCCACTGCAAAGATGGTCAATAATAATAATAAAAAATAAAAATAATCAGCAATAATAAATTATTATAATATTTATTATTACAGTCTACCTTACCCAAAATTATACCCCCTTGCAGTTTGGATTTATATTTTCTTTGGCTCCATAGTACCAGTATATACATGTCAATTAGTATATACAACAATTTTTTAAAAATATTTTAAATTCATTTATCCATCTCCTCTATGAAACGTTAGGCACTTTTTGGCCAAGGACATTGTTTTATTTGTCATTATAACCTAATGACCAAGACAGTGCCTGGTATTTAGTAGATGCTCAGTAATGTTTGATGCATGTATGTAAGCATTTATTGCAATTAGTATATGGTATAAAGAGGAATTACCAGTGAAGGAGCCAGAGAGGCAGTCAGATCAGTGCTGTAAAAGACAGATTCAGGAGACTGTTTAAAAACTCTCTGGTCAACAGAATAAAAAAGGAAAAAAGGGGTCTATAAGCCCAAAGACAAATGAAGAGATCCTCAGGAAGAAACTACTGAAAATTAAGTTATTACATTTCTTTTTGAGATGTGCATATATAATATTTAGTGACTTGTTTTTAAAAGGAGATGGGTACTTTTTAAAAAGACAAGTAAAGAATCCTGACTTAGATTTAAATCCTTTGAGAGGCACAGTTTATGCAGTGAGAAGCCTGCCCCTCTCCCAAGTCCTCAGGAGATCACAGGTTTTTCAGAGATCAGGGATGAGGCACCATAGTGAAAACAGGGATTAAAGGAAATCCTATATATTGACAAGTGAGACCCTTTCCCTTTCTCTTTCCTCTGTTCTTTCAGAAGGTGATTTTCTGGTGATACAGCTCTGCACCCCCTGACAGGAGATTATGAGTTTCTCTGTAGTCCAAAAAAAAAACTTTGTATACTGACATTTTGAGGTCTTTCAGTGAAATAGTTGTGTTCATCACTCATTGGAAGCCTTCTAGTTGAGAAGACACACATGCAGAACTTTGCAATTGGCTTTTAGTACTTCATTTGTTCAATAGATAGGCATTTGGGGAACGGTCCAGTGTGAAAGACAGAGACCAAAACACAAAAGTACAAAAGAGGAACTTGAAGGAAATATTTTGGAAACAGAAGAAAGTTTGAAAACAAAAACAAAACTGTAGGTAATTATATCAGAGAGGTAAGAGAAGAAATTATATCCATGAAATAAGATTAAGATGTCATAAAAAGAATCAGGAAAAAGTAAGTGCTCTGGAAATTAAGTGCTCTGGTGCATGTTAAGTAATTTAAAAATGATCTCAGGTTTATAGAAAAGGCACAAATATATTACAAAAAATACTTCTTTTCTCTGAACCATTTGAGTGAGTTGCTAGCTGCATGCTGTGTCACCTTTGAAACTGTTTCCTACAAATAAGGACAGTATCCTACATAATCACAATACAGCCATCAAAAGTCAAGGGATTAACTGATGCATTACCACCACCTAATTCTCAGACCTTATTCAGGTTCCCTAGTTGTACAAATAATGTTCTTTATGTAAAGAGGATCTAGTTTCAAATCACATGTTGCATTTAGTTGTCATGTCTCTTTAGTCTCCTTCTTTCTGAATAGTTCTATGGTATTTGATTTTCTTGACCTTGACACTTAAAAATTGCAGACCAGTCATTGTGGAATGTCCCTCAATTTTGGTTTGCCTGCTATTTCCTCATGACTAGATTCAAGTAATGCATTTTTGGTGGGAATATCAAAGAAGTGGTGCCATTTTTTTTTTAATTAATAACCTTTATTTTTTTATATTTTAAATATATTTTATTGATTTTTTACAGAGAGGAAGGGAGAGAGATAGAGAGCCAGAAACGTCGATGAGAGAGAAACATCAACCAGCTGCCTCTTGCACACCCCCTACTGGGGATGTGCCCACAACCAATGTACATGCTCCTGACCGGAATCAAACCTGGGACCTTTCAGTCCGCAGAGCGATGCTGTACCACTGAGCCAAATCGGTTTCGGCAATAACCTTTATTTTTTAAGAGCAGTTTTAGGTTTATAGTAAAATTGAGCAGAAAGTACGTACAGGCTGTTCCCCAAATACTTCTAACCTTACTCCTTGTTACCCATGCCCCATCTCACACACATAGCTTCCCCCAGTATCAACAATGCTATGTCCTTTTCATTGTAATTCATTTAAGGAGCACAATTTCTATTATTGATAACTAGAGGCCCAGTGCATGAAATCGTGCTGGTAGGGTCCCTAGGGCCTAGCCTCCTGCAATCAGGGCCATCTTCTGCCCGTTTGCCAGTCTCCAGGCTGAACGCCACCTCCACAGCTGGGCTACCAGGCTGTTGGGATCGTCAGCTCATCCCCGGCTGCTTGGGGGCTCAGGCCTTTGGGAAAGCACTGACACTTTATGCTGGGCCAACCTTATACACTTGGCTCTGATTTACCACACTCCAGCTCTGATTCTCTCTCTTAAACAGATGCCCTCTTCATCCTGCCTCCATGACTATTCAATTTTTTAAAATAACCTTTTTCTTTTTAAACATTTTATTTTGAAGTAATTATAGGCTCATAGGAAGTGCAAAATAGTATAGAAAGTTCCTTCATTTACCCATTTTTTTCTCATTGATGACATCTTTACATAAAAAAAGATCAAAACCAGGAAATTGATATTTTATCCATTTATCAGTTGGTAGATATTTAAGTTGTTTCTAACTTTTGGCTGTTATGAACAATGCTGCTGTGAGCATACTCATGAGTATATGTAGTTCTCTTCCTTTATTACATGTAGATTTGTCATAATTAAGATCTCTTGTATTACTTCTTTATAGTCATATACACAACTCTTTCCTCACTATCCCATCTTTTAAGATTTAAAAAATTAAAAGCATTATTACAAGTCACAGGAAGAGCTGAGTAAGCATAAATATCATGTTAATGTTCGTGAATGGAAAGAATTAATATCATTCCCAATCTTGAATGAGAAGCAGGCTAGGAATTCTGCTTTCTGAATGGTAATTTTATTGGCACTCTGTTCCATTCTGCTCCATTGCTGATATAGGGGCCATTTGGGGCATCCCCCGACCCCCCAGATCTTGACTTTGTGCAGAGAGCCCAGTCTGGCTCCCTCCAATGCAGAAACTTCTATAAGTTTGCAGCCAATAGTTCCCATCCTCCCTGCTAGTTTTCAAATTCCAGGCCTGAAGGTTGCTGTCTGGACTGCCACCTTTCAGTTCTCACTACTGTGGCTTGCATTTGTTCTGGTTTATGGCATCTGTATATTTTCTTTTCTATCTTTTGAAGTTGAGTGTATAAACTTAAAAAAAATAATCTATTTTGTCTGTAATCACAGTGGAAAGGAATGCTTTCCACCACTAGTTCATTACACTTCTTTTTTTCTCTTATATATATTTTTATTGATTTCAGAGAGGAAGGGAGAAGGAGAGAGACATTAATAATGAGAGAATCATTGATTGGCTGCCTCCTGCATGCCCCGTACTGGAAATCAAGTCCGGAACCTAGAACCTTTCAGTTCGTAGGCAGATGCTCTACCCACTGACCTAAATCAGCTAGGGCTCCAGGGCTCTTTTCTTTTGAAAAATTTCAAACCTATAGAAAAAAATGAATAAATAGTATAACGAAGATTCATTTAGCCTTTATCTACAATAGATTCATCAATTTTTACCATTTTTTCAAATCCTCACCCGAGGATGTGTGTGTGTGTCTGTGTGTGTTAAAAGAGAAAAACAGCAGTGTGAGAGAGAAACATCAGTTGGTTTTCTCCTGTACCCACTTGTCTGGGGATTAAACCCACAACCTAGGCATGTGCCCTGATTGGGAATTGAGCCTGAAACCTTTCGGTGTACAGGATGATGCTATAACCATCTGAGTCACCTGGCCAGAGCAATTTTTGCCATTTTGCCTCTTTATTGAGCATCTCTCTCACTTCCCTTCTCACCCCCCACATTCACACTCTAATACTTTTTCTCTCTCAATCATTCAAAAGTTAATTACAGATAGCACAACATGTCTTTCTTAAGTAGTTTAGCAGGCATTTCCTAAGAGTAAGGGCATTCTCTTACAAAATCAAAATACAGTTATCATATTCAAGAAAATTATTATTAATTCACTATACCGAATGTATGGTTCAAATTCCCTTGCTTATCCCATAAATGTTATGTTTTACTTTGTTTATGAATATCTGCATGTTTTATTGAGGATCTAGTCAGTGATCTCTTTAGTCTCTTTTAATTTAGAATGATCTTGTTTTCTATAACGCTGAATTTTTTGAAGAGTTTAGGACAGTTATAGAATAGATTCTAGATTTGTCTGTTTCTTCCCTGTTCAATGCAAGTTAAACATTTTTGGCAAGAATACTTGTAGGTGAGGTTTTAAACTTCTCATTGTGTCACATCAGGAGGTGCATAATGTAAACTTGTTAAACTATTGGTGATATTTGATAATTTGGTTAAGGTAGTGATTACCGTATCTTTTCATGGTAAACATACATTTTCTCCTGTGTAATGAATAAGTCATCTGTGGAATGATACTTTGAGACACTGAATAGTTTCTTCCCTAATAACGATTTACCAAAGGTTTTAACATATATTTTTGATGCTTGCCTAATTAATTATAATTGAAGTTTAATACAACTTACTAGTTAGCTGTGTATACATTGTTCACTTATTCATTTCAGAGGTATGTATTGAAAAGATACTACATTAGTCTCTGGGCTAATCATTTGGTGAGCGAGCACAGTCAAGAGTTTGTCTTTGTGGTTTCTACATTTTTTGGGGAAAGATTGACATTAATAAAATAGTCACATCAGGGTGTATTTATAGATTGTTATAAATATTATAAAGGAAAAAATGGAGTTCTGTGAGAGATTATGAAGGGAGATCACCTTTTCTAGGGATTCAGGGAAGACTTCCCTGTGAAAGTAAGTTAACTGAAAGATTTAGAATTATTTGGGTAAGGAGAAATGTGTTGGAGGCAGTTGGGTAAAAAGTCCCAAAGAAGGACCTTTTGTATCAATTGTTTTGTCTATAAATTATATTTTAACAATTGAAAATGTAATACAAATTTGATCTCTCTAGATTTAAACAAGTCTCTTAAGTGGTGTTTTCTCACCGATGGAGAATTATTTTCAAGCAGAAGCTTACAACCTGGACAAGGTTTTAGACGAATTTGAACAAAACGAAGGTGAGAATTTACTTTGGTAAAGGTATTTGAATGTATTTATGATATAGAGAATGTGTGGTTATAGGAGGATGAAGTACTTTTTAAATAAGTAAAAGCAGGTCCAATGACTTAATGTTATGTATTAATAGCCAGGGTGATACTAACATTTTTAATCACTTTGTCAAGATATTATGCTAAACCATTTACATGGATTTTATGATTTTATCTTTAAAATAATACCATGAAAGCAGAGATGAGAATAGAGGCACAGAGGGGTTAAGCAACTTTCTCAAAGTTATGTTGCTAATAAGTGGCAGGATTAGAATCCAGGCAGCATGACATTAGAGCCTGAACTCTCCTCTACTATAAACAACCATCTATGGTTAAAAAAAAAGCTTTAAAATGTGTGATTGTATTTCCTAAACTAAGAAAAATTGCTTTTTGAATATAAATTGACCAATAAAGTAAAGATATATTTCAAACTTAATTTTAAAAGATTAAGCAACTGTCAATATGGTTAATTAAATTATACCTTTTAAGGCTCAGTCTAAAAATGTCTACTTAAGATTCACTAGGGAGCCCTGCCGGCGTGGCTCAGTGGTTGAGCGTCGACTATGAACCAGAAGGTCATGGTTCGATTTCCAGTCAGGGCACATGCCTGGTTTGCAGGCTCCATCCCCAGTGTGGGTTGTGCAAGAGGCAGCTGATCGATGATTCTCTTTCATTGATGTTTCTATCTCTCTCCCCTCCCTTCCTCTCTGAAACTAAATACATAAATAAATAATATATATAAAAGATTCACTAGGGTAACATTTTCCTTAAATTCCCCTCTCAGGATGACTTGAATGGATAAGCCATAGTTAAATCTGTTTCACTTTACCAACTTCCTTGGAATTCTCTGTTTCGAACAGGAAATGACATGTAACAAATTTACTGAGTGATATATTTTCAGCTAAAGTCCATAATTTTAGTATGGACTCCAAATCTTTACCCATTGATTCAGGTTGTTATTTAATGGCAGCTGGGAAGAAAGATTAATCTTGATTTTGTTGTTTTGGGTCTATGATAGAGGAAGCCTTAAAGAGAATATAGGATCATTGGGGTAAGGAGGGAAAAGGGAGAGAAATGATACCTGGAATGGCTTGCTCTTCTCACCATTGATGACCCAAAACTAACCCATAACCCTAGATTCATTCCTGATTCACGTAAATGTGAAACCTAATCATTTGGGATTTTCTTGGATCTAGATGATCTTTATATATACCAAGGTGGAAGGTGTATTATCCCCTTAGTTTGAATCATTTATACAAGTATTTTCTCAGTCCTTTCTTTGGTTTGGCCCTCTATGTATTATGCTTATTTGTCATGAGATATCTATACAGATGTTATATCTAATCTTGTGAATACAATACTTTTAGAATGCCACTTACTTAATTAATAAAACATTAGTCCATTACATCACTCTTTTTACCACTTCTTATAGACTCTAGTAGGGTACTTTGTATATAAATAGTTGTTTTCTAATATATTTTTGTTGAGTCAATAAAAATTATTTCTCTTAGTTTAAAAATAGAGTATTTGCATTTAAAAATAACTCCTTTAGAAAAAAAAAAAGAACTTCAGAAGCAACCTTGTTTGTAACTAAATTGTTCATTTGTTTTGAACTATTTTTTTTTCCTTCAAAATCTCAGTGCCAGTTGCATTAAAACTATAGCCTCTAGCTGGTACCTTTCCAAATTTGTTTTAAATGATCTCTCATTTTGTGTTAATTTCCTCCTTTTAATGAAAAATATACCACACACAGACTGAGATAATACTAAATATTAACATTATGCCCAGGTAGGAGGTAGTTGAAAAATGAAATGGGTACCTGATCATTTCTGTTACTAAATATGCTTATAAGAAGCAATATTTCTTTTTTTCTTTCCTTGAATCAACTTGAAAACATGATTTTTCTTTTTAAAGGAAGGAAGTACATACTACTAAATCTCATGTTTCTGCTACCCCAGATTTGATAAACTCAGGATTTAACACTTAGATATTAAGCCATTCCCCATACAATCTGATGTTTTATGGCCTTTGTAATCTGCCCTTCCTAGATTTTTTTCACTGCTTTCTTACTTGAATTCTTCTTTCAACCCAAACTGATTTGGTTATTGCTCTCAGATAGTTGTGTTGGGTTCTATACTTTTCCTTGTTCCTCTGTTATGAATGTCCTCTTTTCCAGACTTACATAGACTTGTCTTTGAAGCCCAGCCCATTTGCTTCTGTTTCAAATGAATTCAAGCTCGCTTTCTCAGCCTGTAAAATATCTGAATTTGTTTTCTGATACTACATAATAATTTTCAAATACTAATGCTACCCTGTACTGCTAATTAGATATTCATCTGTATTGTATCTATTTCTGTATTTCTTGGAGGCCAGAGCTATCATTTAACCTTCATGTTCCTCAAACCCAATGCTTTTACTATGGTAGAAACTCACTTAGCATATATTGATTGTGTATTTACTACATACCAGAGACTATGCAAAGTAAGGACTTACATTGGTGAAAGAAATGGTTTCTGCCTAAAAAAGTCAGGTCAATTAACCATTGCATTATATTGTACAATAATAAATGCTTTAATGAAGATATGAAGAAGGTGCTAAGGGAGCATTAAAGATTGTTATACAGAGGGGAAATATATTTGCATATAATTTTAGGATTATGTTTTATCAGATTTAAGCAAGAAGGGTAATAAGTGCATTATTTATTATTTTTCTAATTAACCTTACACATTGCACTGTAACTTGGGGAAAATAACCATCATAGTTATGATCTGCTAAAAAGTAAACAGGAACATGAAATTATTCTTATTGATAGAATATATGTAGCTTGACTTAATAAGGTAAGTGAATATTTTCTGCCAAATGTCCTTGATAATGTAAATATGAACCTAATTAATATATTGTGACATGGTTACAAGCAGAATTTCACATACTACAGCAAACTTTTAAAAAACTTATGGACAAATTTCAAATATATACGAAGGAAACAATAGTATAGTAAACTCGAGTGTACCCATTACTCACCTTCTGCAGTGATTGACATGCTGCCATTTTGGTTTCATTTATATTTTCAACCACTTCTCACACCCTGCTTCACTGTTTGTTTGTTTTTGACAGTTTTTAAGATAAAATTTACACACATTGAAATGTACAGATCGTAATTGTATATTTTTGACAAATAGATTTATCCCATGTATCCCACATTCTACTCATGATGTAATTATAGAACATTATGTCTTCACAGAAAATTCCTTTTTTGTCCTTTCCATTCAATTACTGTATCTTCATCACTTTCTGATTTTTATTTCACTTTACATTAGTCCTCACCCCATGATGTACTTGGTCAATCCAAGGCCTTCCCTGTTGCTGGTGGCCCTATATTCCCAAGTACAGTTTGTGGGCCACTTGAATATGCTATTAGATTGAGGTAGAATTCTTTTGTTTGGAATGTTCTGGGATATTACCACTCAGTGACATTTAATAGGGGAACAGTTATAAATACATTTTCTTATTCTTGGCTAAGAATTAGAAACTTTATATTCTAGGAACATTTTATTTTCAGATTATATTTGCAAATATAGTTAATTAATTTAGTCCTAGCTTTTCCAGCATTACTAGCAAACTTACTGTAATTTGTTGTTGTTTTTGTTTTTTTTTCAGATGAAACAGTTTCTCCTATTTTATTGGAAACAAAATGGAATAAGATTCTAGATCCCCCTTCGCACCGACTGTCATTTAACCCTGCATTGGCCAGTGTGAATGAACCTGTAGTTTCTAATGAGTCACAGCCACAATTGAAAGTCTTCTCTCTGGCTTATTCGGCTCCTCTGACCATACAAAGAGAGGACCATTGTGCTAATGGGCAGGACTGTAGTCTGAACCCAGAGGTCAACACAATGTGGATTGATGAAAATGCCATTGCGGAAGATCAGTTAATTAAGAGGAACTGTAATCAAGATGATCAGTGCAGTACTGTTGAAGTGGGAGAGAAGAAATGTGGAAACCTAGCTTGTCTGCCAGATGAGAAGAATGTTCTTGTTGTAGCTGTCATGCATAACTGTGATAAAAGGACATTACAAAGCGATTTGCAGGATTGTAATAATTATAATAGTCAATCCCTCATGGATGCTTTTAGCTGTTCACTGGATAATGAAAGCAGACAAACTGATCAAATTAGTTTTAATATAAATGGTTCCACTGAAAAAGATATAAACTCAGAGAAACAAATGGATCTATTTAATAGGCCGAGTGCAGAGGGGGATTCTGTTAAACATCTATGTACTACTTCATCTGATAATCTAGCCAGTAGCTGTTCCCCTTCACAATTAAAGGATGATGAAAACTTAGGTAGAGACCCCTCTATGTCTGTAATTACAAGTTTAACAGTCGATTCAGTAGTCTCATCCCAGGGAACAGAGGAAGGTCCTGCTGTTAAAAAACAAGAGAACTATATGCCAGATGAGATTCTCACTGACAAAACCAACTCTCCTAGGACAGATATAGGGAGTTTAAACTCCTTTTCTCGTTTGAGTGAAGGGAATTTGATGAAAAGAGAGCCAGCAGAGGAGATGACAACGGAAAAATCCATCCCATCTGGATTACCTCTGCTTCTCAAACCAGACATGCATAATGGGTCTGGAAAGGATAACTGTGAACAGTTTTCAGATTGCCTTGTGCCCAGTGAAGTTAGAGTTGATGAAAATGAAGGTTGTGAGCATGAAGAAATTCTTGGCTCTACAGACCTTCTTAATACGACAGAACATTTCTCTGAATCTCAGGAGATGGCTGACTGGAAATTGACTAAACTCAATGAGGTGAATGACAGCCACGTAAGTGAAGAAAAGGAGAAGTTTCTGCAGATGAATCAGCCTGAGGACACTTACAATGATAGTGGAGGAGAGTGTGATAGAATGGCAGAAGCAGGTCTAAATTTAAAAGGAACTTTAGTGAATGAAAGTGAAGGATGTGATTTCTCCACTGTTATGGATGCACCAGCAGCAAATACTTCATCTAATTGTTGTGATTCCTATGGAATGCAGAGCCCAGTTGTTTGTTTTGTTCCAAAGACTTTACCCTCCAAAGAAGATTCAGTAACAGAAGAAAAGGAAATAGAAGAGAGCAAGTCAGAATGCTACTCAAATATCTATGAACAGAGAGGAAATGACATCACAGAAGGGAGTGGACTACTTTTAAACAGCACTGGTGACCTAATGAAGAAGAATTATTTACACAATTTCTCTAGCCAAATTCCATCAGTGCTTGGGCAGTCTTCACCCAAGATAGCAAACCTGCAATCTGTCAGTGTTCCTTTTGGTGGTGCAAGACCCAAGCAACCTTCTAATCTTAAACTTCAAATTCCAAAGCCATTATCAGACCATTTACAAAATGACCTTCCTGCAAACAATGGAAATAATATTAAAAACAAAAATGATGTTCTTGGTAAAGCAAAAATAGGGGGAAATTCAGCAACCAATGCATGTAATGCCGCTTTGGGAAACATTTCTATTGCTGATACAAATGGGGAACATTCAGAAAGTTATGAGTCTGGGATATCTAGTAGACCTGGTCTTGTATTACCTCCAGATAGCCCAGATAATGATCTCAGAGCTGGTCAGTTTGGAATTTCTGCCAGAAAGCCATTTACCACCCTTGGTGAGGTGGCTCCAGTATGGGTACCAGATTCTCAGGCTCCCAATTGCATGAAATGTGAAGCCAGGTTTACTTTCACCAAAAGAAGGCATCATTGCAGAGCATGTGGGAAGGTAAGTTGTATCAGCTCAGAAATCTAGCATGCTAATTTTGAAATCCTCAATTAGAAATTAGTAAAGGGAATAGTATAAGATGAACATACTTCTGATTGAGATGAACATTGTAAATAGCTTTTGAACACCCCGTTCTAGTTCTAAGTAAAAAGTGACCTCACTGATTATTGGTGTTTATATAAGGTTTTATTGCCAAGACCTAAGTTGAATCAGTTTTCATGAACAGATGAGAATTGAGGAAGTATTAACTTTGTGGTTTCTATATTGTTAGATACTTGGTTAATGGAATTGTTTGAAATAAGGAAGTTATTCTTTCGATTTAAGAAATGTTTGTTATTCATTTTTTTTTAAAAATATTTTTATTTCAGAGAGGAAGGGAGGAGAGAGAGAAACATCAGTGATGAGACAGAATCATTGATCGGCTGCCTCCTGCATGCCCCCTACTGAGAATCAAGCCCCCATCCCTGGCATGTACACCGACCAGGAATCAAACCATGACCTTCTGGTTCATAGGTCAATGCTCAACCACTGAACCAGACTGGTTGGGCTTAGTTCAATTTTTTTTTTTTTTTTAATTCTAAGAGAAATTGAATATTGCACTTATAATCCATTGCAGTTTTTGCTGTAGGATTTCTGCTACTGTACTAGACATTCTGGAACTTTTTATACACAATATACACAATTTTGTCTTTCTCCCCATGTATATTGGTTGCGGGCATATATCCGGTAGGGAGTGTGCAGGAGGCAACTGGTCGATGTTTCTCTTTCATCAATGTTTCCAACTCTCTATCCCTCTCCCTTCCTCTCTGTAAAAAATCAATAAAATATATATTTTTTAAAAAGTTGAACATTACACATTTTTATGGCAGGATTATAAGAATAGTTGATAATTACCCTCCCTAAATTCTGTTAGCTGGTAATATATCAACTTACTAGTTTTCTTTTTAAAGAAGTATAAATGAGGAAGAAAGGAATGTGAGGTTTGGTGTCAGGTCTGGATTTGAACTTTAGCTTTGTTAATATTAATATAACTCTATTAAGCCTTAAGAGAGAGAGAGAGAGAGAGAGAGAGAGAAAGAGAGAGAAAGAGAGTGTGTGTGTGTGTGTGTGTGTGTGTATATATAATTGATTTCAGAGAGGAAGAGAGAGAATCATCAATGATGAGAAGGAATCATTGATTGGCTGCCTCCTGCACGTTGGACCGAGCCCACAACCCAGACATGTGACCTTGACCAGAATTGAACCTGGGACCCTTTGGTCTGCAGGCCTATGCTCTATCCCCTGAGCCAAACGGGCTAGGGCCTTAGTTTCTTTTTGTTTGTTTTGGTTTTATTAATCCTCACATGAGACTATTTTTCCATTGCTTTTCAGAGAGAGTGGAAGAGAGGGGTGGAGTATGTGTGTCGGGGGAGACAAAGTGAATGAGAGAGAGAGACAGAGACAGAGAGAGACACATGAACTGGTTGCCTCCTGCACTTGCCTAGACTGGGAGCAGGGAGCAAACTGGGAATCTAACCTGAGACCCTTCAGTGCATGGGCCGATGCTACCCACTTAGCACATCGGACAGGGAGAGCCTTAGTTTTTTTATAAAAACAAAAAAGAATAATTTTTATATATTAGGCTTTTGTGGAAATTAAATGGGATTACAGATATAATAGTAAGTGCTTAGTAATTAATCTCTGCTTCCTTTCTCGCCTGATTTATTGGACAATTAATATTAATTAGGACGTTTCAACTTCAAGAAACAGAGTATCTGATCTAGTGACAAACAAAAGTAACATTTTGCATAGTAAGAAGCCTCCAGATACTCAGTTGTATCTAGGTGCAGTCAGGTTTACTGAAGTTCTCTTGGTCTTCCCCTCATGGTCTCAAAAATAATGGCACAGCTCCAAGTATCAAGTGTAATGCGACAACTTCTTAAGTGCAAAGAAACTGGTTGGGGGGGCAAAAAAGCCTGTTCTTCTTGCTGTCCCCTTATCAGAAAGGAAAGGATCCTCAGCAACTTATTCAATTTATTGGCCAGTTTTAGACCAATTATTGACAAAGGGAAACAGGATTGCCGGGACTGGCTAAGATAAATTATGATTCATCCCCTGGGGCTAAGCCCATTGTTGCCTGGGATTCTGTTAGTAAGGAAAAGGGAGAGAATGGTTCCTGGGTGCAATCAGCAAGGGATGTTATAACATCCTAGCACAAAGCAACCAAATGGGGAGCAGGATGAAGTTAAAGCTGTGACCAGGCTGTTAGTCTCAGGTTATTAAGTTTGAAGAAAAGAACGTGTCTAATTCCTAAATAATTTTCAGTTTGAAGTAAACCTGTAGTCAGTAACAATCGGTTTTCTATTAGAATATGAGAGTCAGTATTTTTATTGTAGTTTTGCTGACTAGGTGTAACACTTTCTGAACATTTTGCTTTCTTAAGGAAATAATAAAAACACTTTTGTTCTAGACCAGCATATCTAAATGTAATGAGTAAATAGGAAAATTACTCATTTAGATGGAATTTTACAGAGTGGAATTTGTGAAATTTCTGAACTCATATGGCTTATGGATTCATATTCTATCATTTATTTTTCCTTTTCACCTCCAATAACCTCAGAGGTGTTCTAAAAATTTATGAGATAATATTTGTAAAATTTTCTGAGCTCCTCAGAAGAAAAGGGCTTATAAACATAGGTATTCTTTTTCTAGGTATTAAATTAATCAGATTATACTGGGAATGTAATTAGAAAAATACCCCAGTAGTTGGAATGTCAGACAGCGTACTGAAGGGTTGCAGGTTCAATTCCTGGTCAAGAGCATATATCTAGGTTTTGTCGTGTGTGTGTGTGTGTGTGTGTGTGTCCCCGTGTCTTTCTCACATCAATTATTCTTTTTCTCTTTCTTTCCCTCCTTTTCTCCCTCCCTTCTTTCCATTCTATCTGAAAAGCAATGAAAAAAGTATCCCCAGTTGAGGATTAACAAAAAGAAAAAACACCTCAAACAATGTAATTTTATAAAATAATGTTTACTGTTGAAAAAAGAAATTTAGTTTGTTCCATTTTAGTAAAAAGTAAGAATATCCAGTAATTTCTCTTAAGACCCATATCTAAATTCTCTTTATTGTATATATAACAAATATGTATTAAGTATCTAATGTATGTAAGATTCTGGGCTAGCCAAAACCGGCTTGGCTCAGTGGATAGAGCGTCGGCCTGTGGACTGAAGGGTCCTGGGTTTGATTCCGGTCAAGGGCATGTACCTTGGTTGTAGGCACATCCCCAGTGTGGGGTGTGCAAGAGGCAGCTGATTGATGATTCTCTTTCATCGATGTTTCTAACTCTCTATCCCTCTCTCTTCCTCTCTGTAAAAAATCAATAAAATATCTTTAAAAAAAAAAGATAAAGTATACTTGAATATAGAGGAATTAATAGAAAATTGAGAGAAATTATTTAGCATAGCATAAGGCTTATTTCAGTTCTTGATAATTTGTATTTATTATAATTGTTGTAACATTCATTTTGGTATGTTTTTAAGTAGAATGTAAAGTAATTATGTTAGAATTTATGAAAGTTGAAATACTGCAGCTTATTTCTATATTACTAAAATGGGGATCACGACACCTGGATTCCATTAATTTCTTCATTGTTAATTGGAAAAGTATGTCACACTCTAAAATGCTCTGCAAATGTGAGTTTTATGATTTCATACATTAATTTAGATAATTACTCTATATAGCAGTATAATTTCTACTTGTCCTAGATATGCTAGGCATTAAATAAGAGTACAAAAAACTCCTTACCCAAAAGGTGATGAGTTCAAACTGTTACCATAATTATATATCCATATCAATTTCTGTTGTAAATCACTGATTCCAGTAGATTATGGTTATTCATCCTCTGTCAAGCTCCATTTATCATAAATATTTTGATTCTTTTTTATTTTTTTATTTTACACTTGACTTAAAGATCTAAGAAAGTTTCTAGTCCACACTTTATCCATTACTGTCATTGATGTGACTGGTGCCAGCTGGTAAATGACTGTTCTGTCTACTATTGGATAGAAGTCGACATAAGAATAACCTTTAAAAGCAAAACTTTTTGAACTGATACTTGTAACATAGTTATTTTGTACTTGTTTGGCATGTTATGAAAGATGAGAATAAAATAATATTTTTGAACACTTTCACTTTATGCTAGACTTATCTACTCTAGCATCACAGTTCTCTGAGATAAACAGGTGAGAAAAATGCACCTCAGAAAGGTTAATAATTACCGTTTCCCCAAAAATAAGACATTGTCTTATATTAATTTTTTCTCCCAAAGTTGCGCTAGGTCTTATTTTCAGGGGATGTCTTATTTTCGGGGAAACACGGTATCTTGCCTAATTCTGAGTTTATAAATGAGAATGCATTGATTTTAACACAAATCTATCCCACTCCAAAGTCCCATGTTCTTTTTACAACACTGGACATAGCAACGAAATTTATTGAGTTGCTTACTAGAAATATGTCATTGTCTTTAGGTAAACATTAGTTTTGGGCAATGGCGAAGGACTGGGAATTTGAGTATTTGAATTTTTAAGGAAGACAAAAATGCTGGATGATTGGTGCTATCAGGTGATTTTTTAAGACAAAAATGCTGAATGATTGGTGTTATCAGATGATGAGAGAGCCTAGTTAAAAGTCAGCAGGATTTTAGGTTATATTTCACCTATTAAGTCTTAAACAACAAAGTAGGAAAAGAGCAATATGAGCATCAAATCACTGAATAAGGAGGGATTTAGTGACGACAGTATATACCACTCCAACTTACTATTTTTTTCCACTTTGACTTAAAAAGTCAAAATGGATGAATTTTTGTTGCATAATGGCTGGAGTAGACAGGAGAGGGAAGAGAACTGTAAGAGAGGTAGTATAGAAAAGAGTACTAACAAGGGTTTGAAAAGCTCTGGGCTTCTGTTTCCTGTCAGTAAAAGGAGGGGATTGCATAGGCCTTATCTCTGATTCCCTGCAGCTCTTGGAAAAGCTAGTGTGAAATTCTGTGTTTTAAAAAGAAAGGAAAGAAAAGGAGACAAAGATTTATGCTAGCACTGAGTTATCACTAAACTTACTGATTAGCTAAGGTCACTTTGTAGGAAGAATATGCCATAAAGCATTTGAAACTGCTGACAGTGTGTTTTCTGGAAGTCATCACAGTTAGACTGGAATGCTGTTTCTCAAGGTGCCAACTATGTGGGCAACATTGAGGGTTTTATTTTGATATTACTGTTCCCTTTTTTATTCCTAATACTACTAATTTCTTCAGTATCCCTTTAGACACACATGATCTTCATTACCTATGATACTAGTACAGAAAAAACCACATTGAGACTGGTAGGAGGGGCAGCAACATGGAATAGGCGGGTCCCATACCTATGTGTGGTGGTTAAAAATCAGGAGGGATATCTCAGCTGTGGAGGTTCCCCCTGAACAGCAAGGAATTTCAGCCCCACACCAGGCCCCCCGCCCAGGGTTCCAGTACCAACTCCCCAAAACTCTTGGCTGTGAAAACCAGCGGAGATTATAGCTGAGTGCGACTCCCAGATGGTCATCTTAAAGGGCCCGTGCATGGCCTACTCAGACTGACTCGCTCTGCGTTCCAGCACTGGGTCAGCAGCTGGGAAGGCTCCAGGGACATAAGGGGAAGAACTGGGTTGTCTGGCTTTGGGGCCAGGGCTGGAGGGGCAGCTTTCTTCCAGACAGAAGTGCTGGCAGAGGCCATTTTTCCTTTCCAAACCATACCCCTCTGTTTTGCATACTGACAACTGTAAACCTACTTTTTCCAACCTCTGTACATGACAGTGTTAACTCTACCTGGTTATTTGATATTGAGAAATTGTTCATTTTTAAAGGTGTAATAATGGTATTATTATGTTAAAGTAATACCTATGTTTCAGATATATATGAAATATTTAAAGATGAAATGATGTCCGAGGTTTGTTTAAAAACTAGAGGGCCCAGTGCATGGATTTGTGATTCGTGCAGTGGTGGGATCCCTTGGCCTGGCCTGTGGGGATTGGGCTGAATCCAGCTCTCTGACATCCCCTGAGGAGTCCCAGATTCTGAGAGGGCTCGGGCCAGGCTGAGGGATCCCACCGGTGCACGATGGGGCTGAGGAGGGATCGCAGGAGGGCTCCACGTTGCATCCTGCCCGTTTCACCCAGTCCTGATCAGCTAGACCCCAGCAGCAAGCTAACCTACCAGTCAGAGTATCTGCCCCCTGGTGGTCAGTGCATGTCATAGCAACTGGTTGAACAAATGATTGGACACTTAGCATTATTGGGCTTTTATCGGGTCTAGTAATAATTAATGTCGTTTTAAAACATTCGTTTAAAATCTTGCTTGGCGTTGACTTGTATTGACATAACCTTCAAACACGTGGTATCTACAGAACGTGTGAAGTGCAATTAACAAGTTTTGCTTGAAAAAGTTTGTGTTTGGTTTGGTTTTTGTTGCAAAACTAGGGCTAAGAAGATGGCGGATGAAGAGTATATTCGGCACTGCATGCTTTACGAGTTCCAATTAGGAAGAAAAGCAAGTGAGGCTGCAAAAAACATCTGTAGTGCTTTTGGTCAAGATGCAGTTAGCGCCAGAAAATGCCAGCGTTGGTTTGAGAAATTTCGCGAGGGAAATTTTTCGTTAGATGACAAGAGTGGTCGAGGCCGTGTGTCCAATTTTGATCAAGAAGCTCTTCAAGCTCTTTTGGTGCAAAATCCTCAAATTACCCAACAAGAGCTTGCGACAACTTTAAAAGTGTTCACAAAAAACAATTTCCAATCAATTGCGTGCACTTGGCAAAGTCCAAAAGTTTGGAAAATGGGTTCCTCATGAGTTGACCGACAACAACCGTAATCAAAGAGTCACAATTTGCAGTTCGCTCCTCTCTCGTCAAAACCGTTTGCCGTTTTTAGAGCAAATTGTTACCGGAGATGAAAAATGGGTGCTGTATGTTAATTTGAAAAGGCGGCCTCAAAGGTTGGACAAAAATGAGGCTCTGCAGCCCACGCCAAAACCTGACTTGCATGCGAAAAAAGTGATGTTGTGTGTTTGGTGGAATTTTAAAGGAATTCTTCATTATGAACTTTTACCATATAACCAAACCATTACAAGTGCAGTGTATAGTGCCCAATTGGAAAGGTTAGCCCAAGCTTTAAGAGAAAAGAACCCGCGCTGATTAATCGGAAGGGCGTAATTCTTCACCACGATAACGCACGACCGCATACTGCAAGAATCACTGCTGAAAAACTGCGCCAGTTGGAATGGGAAGTTCTCCCTCTACCTGCATATTCTCCTGATGTTGCCCCTTCCGATTACCATTTGTTTCGTTCTTTGCAAAACTTTCTTCTTGGAAAAAAATTTAATAATGAAGAATGCCTCAAAAATGCATTGACCGAATTTTTTGCATCAAAATCACAAGAATTTTACAACAGAGGGATTAAAATGCTTCCTGAGCGTTGGTCACAAGTAGTAGAAAACAACGGCAACTATATTGTTGATTAAATTTTGTTGTATTGTTTAAATAAATTCGATTTAAAAAGTATTAGAAAACGACATTAATTATTACTAGGCCTAATATTACATAGGACTAGGGTCCTGGTGCATGCAGTTTGTGCACTGGGGTGGGGATGGGGTCCCTCAGCCCAGTCTACCCTCTCTCACATACTGGGAGCCCTCAGGGGATGTCCTACTGAGGTGTCTGGGCTGATCAGGGAAAGTTACAAGCCGCATCACCCTACTGCTGTAGCCACTGCAGCCACCAAGGTGTTTTCATCAACACAGACTCCACTCCCTTCACCATGAAAAAAATGACAACTTTCTTTAGGCATTTTCAAAATGTGTCTTTCATAGGATATGACATTTCTTTAATTTATTTTTTTTTAATCCTCACCTGAGATTATGTTTTCATTGATTTTTAGAGAATGTGGAAGAGAAAGGGAAAGACAGAGAGAAACATCAAAGTGAGAGGAACACTTTGATTGGTTACCTCCTGTATGAGCCCTGACCTGGCCCCCAGCCAGGGAGAAGCCTGCAACCTAGGTACATGCCCTTGATCAAAATCGAACCAGGACCCTGTGGTCTGCAAGCCTAGGCATTATCCACTGAGCCAAACGGGCTACGGGAGGATATGACATTTCTTAACCCCCCAGCAGCCGACCTTTTTTTTAATCCAGGAGTATAGTGAAAAAACCCTAGATCAATTTTTTGGATTCTTATACCCAAGTTACTAAGAATATTATCAGTGGCAAATAGGGAGCTTAGCCAATGAGCGGTCAGAAAAGGTATTTCCTCTGTAATTCACACTAATCGCCTCTGATCTCTGGCTCCACCCCTGCCAAGGCCTGAAGCCTCTGGGCTTGGGCAGGGGACCCCAAGCTTCCTCGGATCGCCCGGCTCCGCCCCTGCCCAGGCCCCAAGCCTCTGGCCGGAGCTTGGAGCCTGGACAGTGGATCCCCAGCTCCTTCCGATTGCCCTGCTCCGCCCCTGCCCAGGTGCAAGCCTCTGGCCAAGGTTTGGAGCCTGAACAGGGAACCCCCAGCTCCCTGCCATCGCCTGGCTTCACCCCTGCCCAGGAGCCCCCTGGCTCAGGCCCTTCCCAAGTTGCTCAGGACCCACCGAGGCCTATGCTAGAGTGACCTGGTTGCTGAGAAAGTTCCCAGGACCCAGGCTGCTGGATGTCTGCATATGAAAATTAACCTCCATCTTTGTTGGGTTAATTTGCATACTCTGATTGGCTGTGGGTGTAGTGGAGGTACAGTAAATTTACATGTTTGTCTATTAGGTATGATGACTAAATGGGGGATAAGTGGGTGAGGACTGGCTTTAATGTTTCATCTGGGTAATGGGCACTTGGGAGTTACGCTGTTCTGTCTACTTTTATATAATTGAAGATTTTTCTAATAAGTTTAAAAAATGAATGGCTGGAATATAAAATAGGACTATGTTTTTTTTAATACATATATTTTATTGATTTTTTACAGAGAGGAAGGGAGAATGATAGAGAGTTAGAAACATTGATGAGAGAGAAACATTGATCAGCTGCCTCCTGCACACTCCCCACTGTGTATGTGCCTGCAACCAAGGTACATGCCCTTGACTGGAATTGAACCTGGGACTCTTGAGTCTGCAGGCCGATGCTCTATCCATTGAGCTAAACTGGTTAGGGCTAAATAGGGATATATTTTATAATTGCTTGCCTTTTACAAATTAGCACTTTTTAACACATACAAAACTTACAAGGCAATATAACTGTTATCTACAAGATAATAACAAATATATAAAAATTAATTCATAGTTTATTAAAGGAAATGAGCCTAATAGCTTCAAACAAGTTTAAAGATTTAGTTTAATGTTCTTTAATTATAATTTTGTTGTTGTATCTTTCTGTTTATATAGCTTAACTTGGAAATAAAATTGAAAGGTTAAATTAGAAACTCTTTGTTAGCTCTGTCTGTGATACACTTTTAAAGCAATTCTGATAATTATTGTTTTCAATTAATAACAGTAAAGTTTGGATAGCCGCAGAGTTGGAATTTGTTTGAATTAAGTTCTTACTATATTGACTTTGGTATTTTTAAAGGTGTGAATAATGGTATTGTTATGTTAAAGCAATGTTAAGGTACTCTGCATTTAAGAATTTTTCCAAGTTGTTATTGTCATTGCTCTTTGTGAATAGCTGGATATTGGTCAGTTACATGCACTTTCCTATTCTTGCAAGGCAATTATTTTTGACATAATTACAGAGCTTTTTGAAGACTTGGGACATCATTTTTTCCACTTTCTAATATGAAAGGAAATTAGTGACCATTTGATGATTTAAATTTTCAAGAATTGCAAAGAAGTGTTATTCACACTGTAAGGTGGTATAAATAGGCACAAATGGTACTTGAGTATGAAGCTGGTTCATAAATTTGGCAGTAAGATTTGTTATGAGGGAAGCCAATAATGGGAAATTTTAAAAAGAACACCGTAATACACTTACATTATGTGCTGTGTTTTACATGTATTATCTCACTT